GGAGGGAGGGAGGGATGGATGGAGGGAGGGAGGGAGGGAGGGAGAGAGGGAAGGATGGATGGATGATTATACGCAGAGTGGCATTTCATCCACACATGACTTAACTTGGTTAAGCATAATTAACGGTTTGAGGACATCATCCGCGCGGCACTCTTTTCAATTCTCACACAAGATCTGATCCTCATTAAAAGCAGTGTGAAGAAAGGGATCAAGAAAAAATCTTTCATTTTTATCGTACGTCTCTTTCAGTGTCACTCATACTTACCCGTAAGTGGATAAGGCACAGATATGGGCTCCCTGTTTCTTCCTGATGTAGGAATCATGATGAAGAAATAACTGAAGTCCACATTAGATTTGCTTGTTCCCTGGACATCGTAACGATGGGCTCCAGCTGAGGCGCTAACTGTCAGTGTCCATTGTCCTGGTGGAGGGTTTGTGATGTCGTAGATGTACCCCTTGCCGACACTGCAGTGAGATCACAGAAACACGTTATATAAACAAAGGAATTGAAATTCACAATAGACTTCAAGGTCAGCCAATCGGATCGTCAGAATTGTCTCAATGTTTTATCCAATCAGATGACAGATATTCATATTAGCATAATTTGCTCAAAGTGTTACTGTAGCTGAAACTTACTTTAAAATATTACTTTTTTTTCAAAAGAAAATGCGGCGTTTCTTCCCCAGCATTTGAAATTAAAAAATCAATATTTTAAATAGAGATGCCCTAGGGAATAATACGCAAGAATAGGAATCTCATATTCCCATGGGAATGAAATTCTTTGTTTGAGTTGAATCCATATTAATTTGCCTTCTCATGCGCATTCGTTAAACAAAGTAAGTAATGATGGAGTTCAATATATTTTTCTCACCTTATTCGTACACTTGGATCAGACACCACCACCCCACTAGGCGTAGYMAGGGTAAYACCTGKGTTATYATTAGCAGCYCTCACAGTAATCATCACTGCATCTGTTATATCATCCACTGAAATTACATACACGCTATCTCCAGCTGCCCTCTTACGCCTCTTTCCAGGTCCATATCCAAAACCACCCGAACTCAAACAGGTTTTTCCAACCAAAGACTTTTGTGCGAGGCCAGTAAGACTGGAGAGGTAACTGGCGGAGGGTAGATATATCATTTGGCCACAAGTCTTCTCGGCAAGTTCTTCATACGGTTTATGCGACTTCTCGCCACAAGGACTATTCCGAACAAAGAAATTGATGTTGAGTTCAAGCATGTAGGCCTCGTCGAGAAGTCTTTCCATGTTCTTTTCGCTGTAGTCTTTTGCAGTTGCATCGGTAAACACAAACATGGGTGAAGCCATGTTTGGGCCTGTTGTGAACAATTTAAAATGATGTAATTCAGTAGCGCTGCAGTAAAACGCTTGCCTTTTGACACCGAAGACTCCATTCTAGTCATAGCGTGCATCAACCTCTAGGCTATCTAAGTCAGGGCACTAGAGTACAAACACTAAAAGTGTGCAACACTTTGCACTATTTAGTAATATATAGTGCTAATTAAACAATAGAAAACAATAGGATTAGCATAATTTAGCAGTATTGAGTGGTATTTATTTTACACACTTATAGTGTTTCTACTTTACTAATTTAAAGATTGAATTTAAATTTAAATTTTTGCGCAAAAGATTGGTGGAAAACTCGACACCTGGAGAAAACCCCTCGAATCAGGAAGAGAAGTAACAAGCTAAGCTATACTCGCATTTGATGCGAATTCCAGGGATGGAATCTGAGAGTCCAGAGATGAGAGAGGTATAATAGACCAGTTTCGAATTCCAAATTACCGCTGTGTTCCTTGATTACAGACTCATTTGCACAGGGTTAGCCTCGTATCAGTGTCTTAATATTCACAAATACCAACAGAAAAGTAAAGAATGCACAACTTCAACAATACAAACATTTTGAAACTCGACGGACATTGACTGGAACACGTGAATATTCTGCACAAACTCGAGGCCCTGTGCAGATGAGTCTGTAATCAAGAAACACAGCGGTAATTTGGAATTCGATAGGGGTCTATTGGACTTTGAAAACTAGCTGCGCCCCCGAAAACTGAGAATGGTCGATAAATGGAGGTTGGTCGCTTAATGGAGGCTTTATGCTGCGTTTACTGAGTTATTCAATGCCCAACCAGCCTTACCTGCAGCGATTGCATTGAGCATTCCCGCAAATGCAAGTTCCGGGCAGTCGCCTCCGCCATGCGCACTCAGTTTTCCAATTTCTTTCACAAACTGATCCTTTTGATCTGACGTCATAGTGGTTACATTGCCGGTCTCTAAATGTTCAAGCAAATAAAAAAGTGTGGTTAGAGATGGCTTACAGCTACAGAATGTCTTTGTTGCATACTGCATGCCAAGTCTGAAAGGCACCAATCTAATCTAATGCGTTTACCACTCCTGGGTGGACGGCTTGATGCCTAACAGGCCTTGCGACCCAATTGATAAGGCAGCCGGTTAGCACGGGCACTGAAGATGCTCGTCACCAGCGTCTTAAGTGGATCTTTTACGTCCGCCTCATACAAGGTTATATAGTGAAGACAGACGGGGCCTACGGTTTTAAGTCCTTGTCCGAGAAGTCTTGAAGGTCTAACCATTTGCAGATGTAATTAAAAAGGCAGCACCGTCTCCTCAGTTATTTCAAGACCTTGAGTGTTGGTCTGGCCGAGGCTTGATGATATGATGATGATGATGATGATGATGATGATGATGATGGAGAGTTCTTATAATGAAGAAATAGAAAACGCGCCCGCCTGCTGCGTGTGTGAAGTTATAAAGCACGCGGGGGTTGGCAGAATGCTAGAAAAGTGTTAGGAGAAGCACGACGCGTAGCGAGGTGTTTGTCGACACTTCCGTGAGTGTTCTGCCAATTCCCAAGTACTTTATGACTCCACGCATCAAAGTAAGCAAGTTTTTTTTCTTCTATAAAATTACAAATTGCAATATACTTTATTTTGTATAAAAATGACAAATCGATCATTTATAATAGCAGTTATTGAATGAATCTTCATTTCACATTGTTGAGGCTTACTGCGCGCGCTCTACCCTGTTTGCTCATGTTTAATTTTTCTTGTCTTTTTCAAAAAAACATTAAAAAAAAGGCATAGAGCGCGTGCAGTTGGCGCGTGCAGAAGAACAAACGATGGCAAATGTGATTCTAATAATAGCATCGCACAGGTGCCTTTGGTGGCTACAAGCATGAATACCAGAGATCCCTTCTCTTAGTTCATTTTTTCTCGTTGGAACTTACCTGGGTCGTTGTATGGTGATAAAATATATTCCACATCGAAATCTCGTTTAGTGTTGATGATAGTAGTAGCAAGTGCTTTTGCAGCGTCAATAAAACTTCYCATGCTTCCAGTGTCATCAATGACAAAGATCAGAGTCACATCTCCTTTAACACTTATGACTTTATCGAATACTTTCCCTCCAAGCTCTTTCTTCACGGATTCAAGAAACATCTCGGCTCCTGTGAGTAAACTTCGCTTACGGCCTGGCGCAGAGGGC